AAAAAAAGAAGCGCATGCTACTATTATACCTCACGGTATTTCAATGTTTTCACTTTAAAAGCACATTGTTTCAAAATCGACTCAGAATGTTTTTAGAGTTGCGCCTATGAAGCGTGTCATTTCGATCCATATCTAAACATCGCACCCTTTCACCCTAAAAGTTATTTCATTCCCGTCTCAAGTTGTAGCCACTGTCAAAGTTTGACGTTGCATTTTGATATAATAAATTGGAGTTTGAAAATCTTCCTCATTGTCATGTGTATGTGCATATGCAATTGCAAAAATAAATAAATAAATAAATAAATAAATAAATAAATAAATAAATAAATACGAACAAATGCCATAGCCATCGTCTATGGACATAACACAACGAGACGAAGCATTACTACAACTAAATATCAGTTGTGATGGCGATTTTGGGGAATCTATTCTTAATCGACATGGACAAAGCGTAGGCGTGGGTGGGGTCCAACAACAATGGAAAGTCAACCTTTGTGTGGTAATGGTAAGAATCAGATAAAGGGAAACATTAAACTTGATACAGGAAGCTATTTGCATTACCTTACATTCTGATTACGTACAATCTGGATTCCAAATTGATGGCTATTCATTATATTGAGACGGAGAGCATCAGGGTGAGGCTTGAAGAGCGTTGACCATTTGAAAGCTGAATTAAGTATACCCAAGGAGTTATGACAGTCCTTGGTATACCCAAGTATGGAAATGTCCTTGACGTGCTATCAATATCGGGTTACTCCCACACAAGTGTTCGGTCTGGTTTCAAGTATGCTCTCTGTGGAAATAAATTTTATTTTTGATTCCAACGATGGAGTTTATGCATCCGAAAACCTCCGCCCCTGACTTTGGTGAGTTCAACATGTAGATGCAGTAAATAGATCATAGAATTCAGAATGTTTATAATGACACTAGGCCGTTTATTCATTTTGTTTTTTTATAATGCTATTTTTTCTTCTTTATTGTCTTGTCCCTGGTCAGAAAACAAATACTGAAAATGCATGTCTAAACACTAATAAATCAACAAAAATGAATCCGTATGATATATTATGTTTATTTATAATTTCAACAGCAAGACACACCCTAAATTCCAATACATTATCGTGATATATGGAGACAAATGAAGGTGGTCAGTCTCACGCTGGACACTCGGTGCGAGTCACTGACCTGTGTCCAGCGGACAGCAGTGACCACCAAAAGACAGAAAAATAAGGAGGAATACTTTGGCTCTACTCTCTGCCAGGGTGGTATAAATATTATAGGCACATTTTCCACATTGACAGAAAACCAAATGACCGTCTTTAGATTTAAGGACATAACGGTATCAGTGAATATCTTGTGAAAAATCAATCTGTCGCCCTGGTAGAGGGTACAATGTACCACAGACCCAAGTATTAGAGTTGCCACTTTAGCAGGTTTTACACTTTCTGAGTTTTGCCACAGCGAATGACTCGATAATTCCAAAATAATAATAATAATAATAATAATAATAATAATAATAATAATAGTGAATGATGAGCTTGATAGTTGGGCTGTGATACTTATTACAATGTAACTATCACTTACGTGCATCCATCAAATTACGCGGGGACTCTTGCTGAATGCAGTCACTTCAACAGTTAAACACGCCTCCTCCCGGCTTTGAATGGAAATACAGAACAGGGAAAAGCTGATGATTATGTGAGTTCGTTGGAAAAAAGAAAAGGCGTGTTAATCTGTCAATATGATTGCATTCAGCAAGAGTCCCCGTGGCGTTGCATCGATCTATATACATAGACAGATGGGAATAAGTTCTTACACGCTTAAATAACGTTGATTATGAACAAATAATAGTCCCAGAAAGGACCAAACAGTCAGGATCCTTTGCTCATATGTTGACACCAAAAACGTCTCAATAAAGGCGAGATGTTTGGATACATGGTTTCGTTTATTACACTCTTGCAACTGATTATCTATAGGGGCAGACAACGAGGATTTACCTTAAAAGTGGTACCAGTAAAGGCTTGGTGAGCGTTTTACAAAGGTTTGTCCTCTTTTGGTTCTTTGTTCTGTTATGTTGCTACTGCCCCCCCCCCCCCCCCC